GTTTTGGAGTGCCACTTCCTTAATTGAAACTGACTCTTGTTCAAAGGCTCAAAGTCTCCGCTTTATCTCAACAGCTTCAGTCTTTGTTTGGGTACCAGACATTAGGTCGTCCACATAAAAATTCTGGAGGACAACACGAGAGCCAATATGAAAACCGACACCTTCGGAAAACCGGCACCAGCCAGCTGGTTCGTTGAGCAACGGGTAGAAAAGACGCTAGCTTTGCCCTATGCACAGGCCAGAGGATAAAAGCTTTAGCCAAAATAGGGAAGCCGAAAATAAGCGCATTGGATTCAAGAAGAGCGTGCTAGTATTTCACAGAAAGTTCGTCAAGCAGGACCCCTTGCAACAGATACGCTGTAACGAACTGTTTTTCTGCTTCCCGCTCGCAATAATTTGCCGAGGCTAGCTCATAGAGTTTGTGGGTCTGTTCCACCGAATTTATAGTTCGACGCTCGTCTACTACAGGGATCCATACGCGCTAGCGAGCCGGGATTGGGAGTTGGCCACAGACTTCGCACCTCCTCTACTCTAGGGATCAGATGCGCATACGCGCTAGCAAGAGAGTTGGGATTGAGAATTGGCTGCGGACTGTCGCCCCCGCTACACCGGGTCTCTTTAGAAACGCTCTAACACTTAAATGTCGGATTCTCCACAGGCGGTCCTCCAACTCAAGGCTACAAGCTTCCCAAAAAGACTCGTCCCTATTCGCTCCAATGGACCTCCTTTTAGACTGATTAGAGCGCTCGTTAATCCTGGATTCTGCTTCTGCTCTTAATCCTGGTTCCAAAATCACGCCGCTGTCCCGTTGGTGGGTCGCCGTCTGCGCCCCTCGCCTCTGCCGGCCACGGACTTCTGCTGTTGCTATGCGGACTTCGAGGGCCGCTACACTTTACGCCCTTCCACTCCTTGCTCCTCCGTTGATGCTAGACCCGCCACACTTTCTAAACACGACTACGCGGCCGTCCCGACAACCGTTACTTTCCACGTCGTCTCTGCTTTCTCACGGCTGCCCCTCACTGCTCTTTCTGTCTTGCGGCTAGGCTTTTCATCTTCACTTTCCCTTCATTCCACCGTACTGCATGTGTAAAATAGTCCAAGCGCTTAACCGCTTTTGCACCCCCTCAACCCTCCTTCCTTGACTTTTCCCTCTGCCACCTGTCTTGGCGTGTGGGGAGACTAAATCTCCTCACAACGAAAATAGAAATTTTCAAAAGGAAGGAAAAGCTGGGAATTGATCAAACTTGCTTGTGTTGTATAGGTTTATGGATCAGCAAGACTTCGCGACTTTATTTGTTGGTAAATTGCAATTGCAATGCAAGTGAGAAACTGTTTCTTCATGAAAGTTCATTCCCATCAGAAGATAGAATAGTTTAACATTTGGTAGGACTTCCTTCAGCAACATAAATGCTGGCAAGAAACTGAAGGCAGCTATAACCAATGGTCTAGATTTTCCGAATCTACTGGAGGTTTCAAAGTGACTTACTCCTTTAGAACAATGGCCTATTTCTCCTCGCCTTCATTTATGATTATAAAATCTGTTGGTCATAAAAACGACAAAGTGCCATTTAAGTATGTAGTCTCATGTTCCGGCCTACTTTTTTGAGGTTATTTCAAAAATTTTTTTTGGAATAAAAAATAATGCGATTGTTTCAATTTTCAAATATGTTTTATGTTGAAATAATAGGTTGAAAAAAAAGATTTTTTTGCACATATTTCGAAAGTACTGTTTATTAAGAACGTACTGTTAAAGTTTCAAATAAAAATATCAAATAATGACAGATATACAGCCCATAATCGAGAGCGCACCTACACCGAATAGTATGAGATACTCGGTAGCGTCTAAACCAGGGATGCCCAGCCCCATTGCTCTCGGTGCTCCTTTGTTGTTGGAAATGCTCTTTCATATGGGAAATGAAATTTCATATACGTGTGTTGCTCCCAGCGTAGGCAAAGGGCAATTACAAAAACAATTTTTCGTGTTTTCCCTATTCTCCTCAATCGTGGTAATCCGAATGCATTTTGTTGTTGGAGTCTGACTCCAACTTTTCACTGCAAGAAGTTCAATCTCTTTTTTGTTCCTGCCAAAATGGTTGACCTAAAGCAATACATTTATTCTTCGCAGAAAATTTATTTTAAGTAAGAAGCTCCGCATTATTTTTCATAGTATAATAATAAGCTGTTGTACAAAATGAAGGGACTTTTTTTAGTTCCTATAATAAAATGTATGTTTTTTATTATTTTGATTTTTTTTAAACTCTTTTAATTTTTCAGTGTACCCAAATGGATTGAAAAAAAATTCTCGCACCAATGTATTGGTGAATTTATGCATTGGTATTGAAGTTTGCTCCGCCGTATGCTGAGCTTGGGCACCCCTGGTCTAAACTTTAAACGCGTTTTTCTCGGAACGACATTTGTGCGGCGCAGGTGATTCACAAAATTCTATTGTACCGATCTAACTGAAATTTGGATATGTTGTTCTCTGTAACATCTGTAAAAAGTAACACCTCTGTCCCGTACTAGAATCTTTTATTTTTAATGATTAGTTTTTTATTTATCATTAATTTCAAATAAATTTTTTACATTTAAAAAAATTTTTTTTTTTGTGAGTTCGCCATTTTGTTGTTTATTGATGAAAATATTTCATTTTAGTACGGGACAGAGCCATAAGCTTACAAAACAATAACACAGTGCGACAGTGATTTGGAACTTTTGAAGAGACCTAGTAGGAATTGTTCATTAGGTCGAGTATAGTATAAAACCATGTTTGAAATTGTTCATACACCCTCAAATCTTGATTTATATCGAAAAAACGGTTTTTCGAAAGTGTTTTGCTCTTAAAAATTCCTGAACGCGTAATTTTAGGCCGATTTTCAATTTTTTGCCGTTTTTCAATAGTTAAATGTTGTAGCTTTTGAAAAATTTTACAAAAGAAACTGACATTTTTGATTTTTTGTGGTGTTTTTCGAACTTGGACGCCATTTTTTCGGTACAACTTCCAGGAAATGGTATCATTCTTAACACATATCAATATTAGAGGGTTAGAGGTTACATTATATCAACATTACATATCAACATTAGAGGGTTAAAACTTAAAATCATTCATTTATCACTGCTAATGTCACACATCCTGAATTACTTTCGTATAATGAATACCAAAAGCACCGACATGGAATTTCATGCCTAAAAAAATGGGAGAAAATTCTATTTGTCGTTTTGGTATTCTACAGCCTCCCTTGTATTACACAAAAAGCCATTGTTTGAAAAAACGCCTAACCTTGTCCTCCATAAGAAAAATTTTAAGAAAATTTAAGCTTTTCCGGCTTCCAGTGTATCTGGAGATTTGGTTAGCCACTTAGTTATATTCGAAAATTTCCTTTCAAAGGAGCACATAAACTCTAAGATCCGGCTTAAAGATATACAAATAAATGCTTCTAACAAGCACATACTTAGTATGCAAAGGGCCAATATGGAATTTTAATACTTTTCTCCCGGACAAAGGAAAAAATAGTTCGTATTTCAAAACCTATGGGCCGTTTTGTAAAATATGAGAAGCAACTTATCAGTATAATAGAGTCAAACTAATATCAATCCTCACTGTTCAATTTATTATTGAATTATATTATTATAGCATTATATATCGTAAAGGCTCTTAATATAAGTTTAGAAGTCATAAATGGGGATTTAGAAACCTTTAGGAACTTCAAGACGTCAGAAACTCAATGAGAACGATTTTTATATTCCTTATTTCTGGTAATTGGTGTATGTTTGCTTCTAAAAGCTTGAGACAGAGCTGAACAATATACTTTTTTACATTTTTTTGAAGTAGTGCTATTTTTTAATAATAATAGTAATAATTATAATAATAATAAGATACAAGCCCACACGTGCCGCATTTATTCTGTTCTTTGCATTTACGCCAACAATACTCTAGTAATCATTTTATTAAAAGTGAAAAAAATATATTGTTTAGTTTATTTTTTCATTTTTATTTTTTATTGTTATTTTATTTAAATGCTAGGGTATAGCCATCAACCTAGGTTTTATTTTTGAACTTAGTCGAAAGCAAAAACAAATATGTACAAATATGGGACGATTCTCATTCGTCGGATCATAATACATTTTATTTCTTTTTGATTTAATTAATGTTTGAACTTGAATTTTTTTAGCGACCAGGAAAAGAGTCTCAGCCAGGTTGTTTCGTACCAAAGGGTACGAAAGGGTACACATACCAATTGAAAAGTATTAATATGTTGATATACATATATTTTAGCTTATATGTACATACGTACAAATATGTATGTATATGCGGAACTTTCGCTTTCATTTAAAATACAATTGAATATGATTTTTGTTCTTGATTTTTAAACGATAAATGATTTTGATAAATCTTCATGACATCTAACCAATATTTTTGGTATAAAAAAAATGGTTCTTTCCAGGCGCAATTTCTTCATTTTTATCAATTTCTCCACAACCCGTTTTAATAGGCGGTGAAACTGCAGAGAAGTAGAAAGTAATGACATTGAATTTGAAATATTAAACAAATTGGGATTTTGGTGAATACTTTTAAAATCAATTTACCTTTTGTTTGGCACACTAACGTTTTTGCCGAATCATAAACATATTTTTAATCTAGAGAAAATTTTTTGTTTTAGATCCAAAGTTGTCTACCCATTAAATCAGTAAGAAAATAAATTTTTATAGGAAGACATTGTATTTCTTCATCTAGACATTTGGCTTAATTTGGGATACTTTGAGGTCCAAAACATACCATCATGAAAATCGTTAGTGGATTTAAGCATATAGCTGAACATGGACGCAGCGGATCGTCATAGCATTGCTAATATTTGGATCGTTGCAAAAGAATTAGTTTCGAAACAAATACTGTTTGTGTTAAAGTTACAAATTAAATAAAATATTTTGGTTCACAATGAATAAAAAAAGTATGCGTTGCGACAATAATATGTTTTAAATAAATGTATAATATTTAAAAAAAATTTGAAAACAACAATGGGTTAGTTATAACTAAGTGAAAGAATAAATTGGTATTTTATATATACAATTACAAATATTAAAAATAGCCAAATTGGAGTCTTAAATTATTTAATGAAATGTAGCTATAACCTTTTAAAGTTTTTAAGTAAGAAGCTTGATAGTTCAAATATATGGCTGCCAAAATTACACGGATAACATGTTGCAAAATTGTGCATGCCACTAAAAATTTTCGGGAGGTTAATGTTTTATTCATATGTTACCTTTTGCATTTAAGCTCCTGTAGTACCCACGCAATTAAAATTTGGGTTTTCCACGTCCCTTTCAAAATAGCCACTAAAAAATCTTATAAAAATATTAAATAAATCAAGCTTTTTTGAATAACTTTTAAAAAAGGTATGCACTAGACACAAATAGGTATTTTCAGTCAAACAGATATATTTTTATAATTTCCCTATGTATATATATTTATATAGTAGTTTCCTTGCGCAACCTTGATATCTATTTTTATTTTTTACCTATATATAGCAGATTCCTTGCGAAAACTTTGATATATATCCAATCCTATGTATATCATGAATATATTTTGAAACTGCATTCAACCAAAAGACTATTTTTTTTAATTCGGCTTTGCTTAAATTTTTATAATAATTTATGCCTGATGGGCGCAGCTGCATAACGTACAGCTTGAATGGTGGGGAAAGATCCGACAAGAACATTATAAATAATAATTTTTGATGGTTAATTTTTATTGAACGCCAGGAAACAAAATCAAGGTTGACCTTAAAATAATTTTACTACTTGAAATTTGTTGCTTCATATTAAAATGTGAGGGGCATGGAAGATTAATTGAACCACCTAGTAGAGCATCGGCCTGGCGCTATGGATTTTCTACATTACCTGATTATAATGATCATGAATTATACTGTGGTGGATTTACTCGACAGTGGAAACAAAATGGTGGTAAATGCGGGGAGTGTGGAGATGCGTGGGATATGCCGGAACCACGTCCTCATGAGAATGGTGGTCAATGGGGGAGAGGTTTGATTGTGCGACGATATTTGCCTGGATCGAAAATGATTATTCGTATAGAGCTAACAGCAAGCCATATGGGGTAAGGCAGTTATATATAATACGGAAACAAATTTTCAATATTTTTTTTTAGGTTTTTTGAGTTTCGACTTTGCCCGACTTTAAGTGCAAAACAGGATTGCTTTGACCAGAACGTGTTACGGATACTTGGGGGTTCTCCCATTCAATCAAGACCCGAAGACATGAACTTTCGGTTTTATCCCCGAAACGGCAGTCGTATATATGAGATAAAAGCCCAACTGCCAGGTAAAATGCTTGAAGAACAAAATATTATATAAAAACAGTATTTTTGTAAATGTTGTACACCATAGAGTATTCATGTGACCAATGTGTTCTTCAATGGCGATATGTTGCCGGAAATAACTGGGGCATGTGTAGTAATGGAAATGGTGCCATTGGTTGTGGACCTCAGGAGGAATTTCGGTCTTGTTCGGATATTGCCCTTACACGTGACGCCCAAAGCTCATTTCGACCCTTGCATCCTGCCACTTCGGATCAAAATATAACTAGCATAGATCCCAGTGCAGAAAATAATGAAGTAAAATCTTTAATTTATTTTCTTATTTCTCTTTCCATTCTCTTAATATTTATTTTCATATTTTTAGTCATTTGGTTCAAATTTAAAGTATGTAAAATATTTATAAAAAATTTTTTTATTTGTCACAAAAAATCAAAAGTTCTTTCTACAAATTTAAACATAAATAAACTATTTAAAAATGGTTTAGGAAGTGGAAAAATTGATTTAGGAAAAGAACTAAATGATGTTTATATTGATAGTCCACCAATACCACCACCTCGAACGAAAAAAATTAAGCAAGAAATACACATTTTATCAACCTAAGTTTTATACGACTGATATATTATATTTTAAAGTGCATTAAATTGATATGCTACAAAAAATTGAATAAAATATTTAAATTTTAATAAAATTTATACACGTATCACAAATATTTAAATGTAATAAATTAAGAATAATAAAATTAAGTGTAAATAAATTTAAAACTTGTTTAATTATTGTGGTGTAAATGGTCAAACAATAAAGACGTAAAAAAATGTGTCAAAAAAATGAAGAAGCATGTTTATTTGTTGAGGTCTGCACAGAACTTTGATAAGGTTTGCTAGCTAAAACAAGAAAGGAATGGAAAGATGTTGAATACCAGTTGATATACCATTGAAGTTTCGGATATGTATCGCAAATATCGAATTTTTCCACGTCCACAGCTGCTTTTAAAACTGAAATCTTGATATAGTTTCAGTTCCAGCCTTGGGCTTTTTACAGGAGTTACAAACTTTTGATTCTGTGATTCCCTACAAGATTTCTTTAGTTGTTACTTCCAAAGTATATAAAGGCATATATGCAAAAGAATGTTTTTTGTTGAGACAATAGGCTTAGGCTAATTTAACATAATCACGACACACTAAATGCGTAATTTTTTCTGCCCTCACACTGGCTGAAAAAACATAAATTGCTGAATAAAATAATATTGTTTGTTAAAAAACGAGCCATGTTTAAAAATTATAATTACTTTTAATAGTTTTTCTCCCAATTCCATAATTTTTTTTTTTAACAAATTATCAATGTTTACAAAATTGTAAGTTATTGAAAACTATGTTAAAAAATACTATTAAAGGCATTCATATAACCTATGTACAGTTATTGCATTCAATAACTTGTAAAATAATGTTAAAAAATGTTTATCACAATTTTTTCCCTGGTCAGTTAAGAGTCCCTTTTAAAAATTGTTCTAAGTCCCAAGTAACATACAAATTTTCTAGGTCCCCTTTTATAGGGGGGTGACTCGGGACGGCTCGAAATTGGAAAAACGGTCACATCCGAATGAGTGTTCCGGGGGATAGGAGAAAACAGAAAAAACAGTTTTTTAAAAGGGAAAAGCCAAGCAGTATGGGAATCCGAGTGCAATAAGTTAAAAAATAACTTCCAGAAAAATTAAAAAAAAATAATAATAATTTTTTTAATAATAAGGAGACGGAAGGGATGCAGTAGCGAACTTATAAGGTAAAAAGTCGGTCCATGAAAGAGAGCTGTGATTAATGGACCGCTTCATATGAGGACCGACCTGAAAATCGGGACCGAAAAGCCAGACCCCACATTCAAAATTGGGTCTGGCGAATATTTTTGTTAAAAGGCCCATTACCTGGCAAGCCCAGTGTGTTTGGGTACCTCTTTTTTAACCGGTTAACTTTTGCGTCTGCAAATGCCTGCATATTTTTTTTGGCCTGTACAACATGGCCCATCTGAAAAAAAGAAAAGGGTGAAGGAAAGGACGTAAAGATTTAACTTGAGAAATAAATTTGCCCCTCATCATTGGCTGTGAAATCCATCCGAGGATCCATAAAAAAATCAAAGCTTTGGATTATAGTTTTAAGCTCGAGAAGCGATTTATTAGTAATTTGTTATTTTTTGGGGTAAGAGGAATTTTTTTTTTTTTATTTATTTATTTATTATTAACAATGAACTGTTATTTCTATATTATTATAACTAAGAGTAAGGATAAATTAAGTTAAAAGATATTCCATAATTTTGGATTTAATTACATCTAGGGATAGTTCAAGGGACATTAAATGGGATAACGAGTTATAATTTTTACAAATAACGCGGAATGGATCGTGTTCCGCAAAATTAGATCTAGAAATCGGTAACCAAAGGGGTCGGAATGATCTAGTTACTCTATTAGGCACCGAAAACATTAATTTTTCAAGAAGTACTTGTGAGTCAACCTGTCCAAGAATAAGCACATGAAGCAGCATAACCCCAGCACAAGTACGGCGCTCTTTTAAAGGAGGTAGGTTTAGTAGTTTTAACCGGCAATTATACGACGGGAGGGAAGTGGCAGTATCCCAGTTTAAGCCTTTTAACGCAAATAGCAGAAAATGCTTTGGACTGATTCAATCCTCCTTTGGTGAACAAAGTATTGCGGACTCCAAACGCTAGAACAGTATTCCAAGATAGGACGAACCAACGATACGTATAGAGTTTTAGTTGTGAAAGGATCTACCTCCTAATCATCAAAAATAGTTGATTTAGTTGTGAAAAAAATTTCTAAAAATAGAAATTTAAAACGCTTGTTTTTTAATTTGAAGGACAGGAAAGGGAGACTATATCATAGAGTAGAGACCATTGTAGTTCAAACATAAGACCCTAAGAGTGTTTTTTTTTTCAAATTTTTTTTAAATTCTTTAATAACAAAAACTTAACTCTAAGAACTAACAATAGAGCCTCCCTAGAGGCGAGAGGTACCTAAGAGGGTCGTGCTGTGCATATGTCGAACTACAATGGCTAAAGAATAGAGGACTAATCTGTCATTTTAGGCGGAAAAGATATTGTTTGAGAAAATTTTCAAAAAATTTCAGCGTTATGCACGGTAAATGTTACAGAGCTAGTAGATATCTTGAAAAATCTGCTGTAAGTTTTTTTATATTTAAGAAAGATACTGTTTTTAGTATTTTTTAAGTTCGTGAGACACCTTGTAAGCCAAGGAGGATTTGTTAAAGCGGACGGATATTTCCAAGGCACACATGAGTCATGGTTATATGGCAGCTATAGGATATAGTCGGTCGATCCTTATAAAATTTGGTATGTCGTATTATGACTGCTATAGGATCTAGTCGTGTACCCGGCACTTCCGGCTTATTACTTCGTGCAAAGGAAAGAAGGATGTGTGCAGAGTTTAAAGTCGACAACTTTAAAACTGAGAGACTATCTTGGTTAAAAAAGGCAGATAGACAGAGAGACGGGCATACTTATATCAACTCAGGAGGTTATTCTGATTAAGAATATATGTATATACTTTATAGGGTCGGAGATGTCTCCTTCACCAAAATATAAGGGTATACAAAAAACCCAAGCCCCCTCCAATCTATATCAGGGAGAAAAGATCAAATGAAATTGTTACGTTGGTCGGGAACGGTAATTTTCATGGTGTTCAAAGGAAAAAAAAAAAAATACTATCCATCCCTTAAGTAAAGGGCTTCACCCCCAAGAAAGTTTTTAACCTTCTAAAAAAAAAAGTGGCAACTCCTCTTCAAGCTTAAGATCGAGTCAGATTGTAAAGCGTCGATGAAAAATAAAGTTCAGCTGATGAGTTGCATGCGTTAAGAGATTGTAACGCCCCAGCAAAACCCACGAAACCCACCCGGACGTTTTCTTCGCCAAAGCTGCGAGGTCCTCAATTGGTCCTCTACCATCAACGGCTTCTCCTATGGCGTGCTCTACAATTTGAACAGCCAGAACAGCTACATAGCAAGCTGGAAACTAGAGCTGGAAACTAGAGAGAAACTACTCTCCAACAGAGTATGATGAAATTTACGTCATTCATTATAACGACCATGCAAGCACTTTTTAAAAACCAGAACATGGTTCATGGATAACATCTATTATTATTTGAAATGCTTTTTTTGCGTTTCTACATTAATGGAACTGTAGAAAACGGTTAGCCCCTTTCGAAGCCCCTTATATGGTTAAGCTAAGCTTAGAAACTTTGAATATTCTTAAAGTTCCTTATATACTATTACCAATCAAATAACTAACTGGTTTTGGTAATTAGCTTATCGGCTTGAGAATAAGAAGCGGCTAAGTTTTTTTCTCTTTTGGATTCCAAAACAAACGCTACGTTCGCGGATTAAACAGAAGTTATTATAAATTTAATCCCTATAATAATATAACACACGTAGTGGGAAAATTTGATAAAAGTTATAAACAAAAAAATTGATCCGTGGTCAATGAATAACAAGAATGGAAAATTTAAAATTCATTAATTTTCCTTGTAATAAATAATACTTAACTTTACTTTAATTAATAATTCGTGGCTAGATTTCAAACAAAAATAACAGGGGCGCATGTTGTAGCTCCCCCTTTTATTCCTACCAGCACTATCAGCAAAAAGAGCTACACCGGACAAGGTCCCAATTGCATCAAATGAGACTGCCCCGAGAAAGAAGCGCATTAACCCTAATAGGCACACAGTGGGACAAGCACCCGGCAGCGCTCAGTTTCAAGTTTTTCCCACCTTATAGGTAAATTCGCGACGTCTACCCAACCTGATGCACTGAGCAAATTGGTCGCAGGTAAGCTGAAAATGGAGCCGACTGATTTAGCCTGTGCTAGGTAGGTAAAAAATGCTAAAGATGGTAAAAAATTTTAAAGATGCCATCAACGTCTTCAAGTTCTTTACCTTTTTTATTCCCTTGCAGAAAGTATTATAATTTTTGGTCAAAAGTGTGCAACGCAGTGAAGCAGGCATCTCCGACCCTATAAAGTATATAAGTTAATTAAATTATGGGGTGGTATATAATATTATGGTGTATTTGGGTATCCCTCGCTGATGGCGGAGTCGTCACAAGTGTAAGAGATGAGTATGGTGTAGTAGTGTGTAGTCGTCCCTGGCGGTTGCCGAGAGGGTTGCTTCTCCTTGTAGGTAGCAAGCGGTGATTGGGTCCCTGGCGTCCCATAGTGACGTTCAGGGAAGGCGTGCTGGCCACTCCTGGAGCCCTCTTCTTGGCTGATGAGATGAGAAGGTGATGAGATTTCTGCCCCTTACATGGACACAGGTGCCATTATCCACATACACGCGGGCCGGGCGATCATTTATAATTAAATCCCTCATCAACGTAAGTGATGTAAATTGGGTGTAAATCGCTTTGCTGAATCTCGCAATGCGCCATGCATCTAGCGTGGAGCTCATGATGAGCGCATGATCCTTTTTGCGCCAGCTGGTAAAATGTAGCCCCTGATGTCGCAGAGCAATTTCTTACTGTGTGGATGTCACCGCCACATTCAGCAATTACGTTGTCCTCCAATCTGAGTATGGTGTCGTAATGCGACACCGGGAAAACGGTGATCTTGTTACAGGCCGACTTGATTTTTGGAAACCTAATAATAAAGTGTAAGATGTTATCGGATTGTAATATTTTAACGGACGATACGGACAAAACATCCCTAATCGCGGTCTAGGTGGGCTAAGATGGTAGGGCTAACAACATAAAACTTGGCAAAAGCTACTGCCAGCATTAATCCCTGCAGCTCCACTGTGATCATCCTATTTCGAGTTAAAAGCATCTTGAATAGGTGCCCTGTATCAATTTGGGACTTTATAGCTGACCTCAGAAGTTGACGGTAGCGGAAATTTTATTAATTTGAATTTGTACTTTGTTATTGATATTAACCTGCCTATTGTTTGCATTTATAAATTGGAATTCCCTAAATTTATTTTTTTCAAAGTCTTCCGCGTCGAGTGTTTTACAAATGCGAATTCCTCCCATACTAAAATCCGGCGGTAAAATCCGTGACGCGTGCCGATGCTACGACAAAAAGGAAAATCAGGTATATGGCTGTAAACCAGCAGTTTGGATGTGCTGTAACCTGCAATTTGGATGTGCTGTAAATTTTGTTGCAATTGGGTAGCCACCAAAGCGTGATTAAAAATAAAAAATGGTAGTAAAAACTTATGCCAAGTGGCTAGAAAAAAGTACAATAAAAGAGGAAAAATTATCAGGCGAGCATTAGTATGGTCATGCTCGGCCTACCTAATGTTGTCTTTGTAGACCACCCCCAGCTTAATGAGGACTGTGGTCCTCATGTCCGCTTCAACGGTTTTTTCTTCACGTAACGGTGAGAGTTTATTTCCCAGGCGTCTGTTGGACTTCACTAGGACCTTTTCGCCATTTTCGAACACTCTGTTTTGTCGGGAAGCGTTTTTCCTGTTCCGGAGCTTGTCCTGGGCGAGTTTTATCTCATCCTGTATTTCGCATAGTGGCATATTCGATTGTGTCTGAACCACGTCGGCCGGCCTCTTGTCGATGACCGAATGGATAGATTTGGATAGATATCTGGCCGTAGCCAGTAGGATCAGCTCTACGGTATCGCTAATGTCTTTATCGATTTTAAGGAATCTAGCAAGCTCTATGGAAGCGTTCCACTTTTCCGTTTGAGACACTGTGGAGAGGCAGCGCATTTGAGATGCTAACGCCGAAGTGGTTTTCCAGCATGGCCCCGATGGAGTGCGAGTTCAACGATGGTTCGTTGTCGCAATATATGACTTTGGCCTTAGGGAAAATGTTCATCAGCTGCAGTAGCGCTGGTTTGAGGTCCTCTAAAGTTTTAGAGGGAAACGGCAAATTTAGAGAATTTGTCGATGCATGTAAGGAAATACTTTTTATCCGTGGAGAAAATTTCGTTCTATACGTTCGCTTGCTTGGTCATTTTCGGGAAGTAGTACTCGGAGAGTACCTGCTTCACGTTTTCTTGGGCAGACCTTTGAGCTCTGTTGTGCTCGACAGTGAGAATTTCTCGCCTCTCAGCAATTTGTCAGCCTCTCAGCCAAACCAATTTGTCCTGTATCATTGCAAGCGTGTGCAAATCGCAATGAATGGCGTTTGTCTTTAGGAACTGTTATGTTTGCGAGCTCCTCAAGCAATGAGTCCTCGTAAGTGAAGTCAATAATATGCCGTCTCTTGTTTCCAAAGAAAACGAAGGTGGGTTTTGACGGAGAGCATGCTTCTCCGATACCGCGTAGGTCAGCGGTTGGTGGTCAGTGTAGACGTTTATATCTTTTACTCCATATAGGTAGTGTCGCAGCTTTTCTAGCGCACAAACTATGGCTAACAGCTCCCTTTCGTTGGTAGCGTAGTTAACCTCTCTGTAATTTAAGGTTCTAGAGATCATAGTGATGGGTCATCCTTCTTGGGAAAGCACTGCGCCAATGCCGTATGCTGAGGCATCTGTCGTTAGATAAAATGGCTTTTTATAATTGGGGTACCTGAGGATGACATCCTCAGAGGCCAGGATGTTACGCAGCTTTTCGAAAGCTAGCAGTTACGGCTCGATAAACTGTACCTGGATTTTTATGGATCTGTATCTGCTGACATTTCCGTGTTCCCCTTTTAAAATGCTCGAAATGGGCTTAGCTATTGATGCAAAATCTTTAATAAAGAACCTATAATAGCCAGCCAAGCCCATGAATGACCTTACTTCTTAGACCTTACTTTTTAAGGCTCCGGGAATCCCTTGATGGCCCTGACTTTTTCCGGGACTGTCGTAGTCTCATCTCTGGTGACTATAAACTCCAAAAAATTAACGCTTTATGTGCCGTACGTGGCCGTTTTCGTCTTCTGAGAAAACGATATGTCATCGACATAGACATAACAAAATTACCAATCTGCTCCCGCAGTATGTCGTCGATTGTTCTTTGGCAGATGCTGGCAGCATTCCTCAACCCAAATGGCAGTCGGCAAAACTCGTTCTTTCCTCCGTTTACGGAAAAGGAAGTTTTCTCGCGGTCACGCTCTGCCAGAGTAATTTGATAGTAGCCAGACTTCAAATCGAGCGTTGTGAAATATTTGGCTTTGCCTAAATTCCCTAGTATCATAGAAATAATTTGCATGGGGTAGCGATCTGGTATTGTTCTCTCGTTTAACTTTCGAAAGTCTAAAACCAGATGCATTTTACGTTTGCCAGATTCGTCGGTGCCTTTTTTGTCTACTACCCATATTGGGTTATTGTAGGGGGATCTTGACTTCTGGATTATGCCGTTTTGTAGTAGGTCTTGAATTTCGCCATTGACGAAAGGGACGACCCTAGACCCTAGCATAAATGGGCTCTTCATCAATTGTCCTGATAGTGGCCACCACTGACGTGTTGTAAGGTAACGCCTTATTTGGGTTCGCGAAGGCATTTTTTCTGTTGCTAAGCATTTTTGAAAACGTTTTTCTGACTAAAGGTGGTGCGCTGGAGCAGTCCACTTCAGTAAAATTTACGTTGGGGCATGATAGGAATTCTAGCTTTTTTACTTCGGAGCCTTTGAGGTGGTGAGGATGAAGAAATTGGCTTTCAAGTTGACTAGGGATACGAAGCATTTCTTTGTGATCGTGGTAACGCCATGGATAGAATGTATCGAAAATGGCGAATCTACTGGGCGGATGCCTTTCAACCCTTCGTATGGATGCAATTTTTCGACGCGCCCGTGTCTATTAAAAGCTTTATTTTTATCCCCGCTACTCTTCGTCTGATGACGGGCAGCAGAGACTTTCCCCTAAAAAATTAATGACGTCCAAATCATAATCCAGAAGCTGCTTGAAGCTGCGGCTGTGTATTTCGCCCCGGCTTCGCCTGCGACTTGTGCGATGTGGTTAACCCTCTGCGTTTTTTGTGGGCCCGATCGATCGGACACGGCCGGTTTCCTGTTTTGGTATGCAGGGGCTTAAGATGGCTTAAGCATTTTGGACATTGATGGGTCAATGTCCATGGGTTCGGGGGTGCCTTCATTGCGTGGGGAAGACTGTACTTACACCTTGTGTTGTTTG